GTTAGGGCGTCCCGTGAAGCGTGAGCCTCCTTGGCGTTTCCCTCACGCACAGACGCCTAGGGGCACGTTACCGACCCATCTCCAAATTTGTCCGCCCGTCGTTGACAGACCCCCTCCCCTCCCCCGGGGAGTGACAGTCCCGCCTGAGACCTCAACCTGTCTGTCTCAGTGGCTCCGCGCCAGACCTCCGACTGAGACATTTTAGACACTTTTGAAAAGTTCGTCAAACAACATTGGCGGTGGTCATGTTTTTGACCACGAAGCGTATGATTGGTTCAGAGTTCGTGCCGATCGCTGATGCAGACCCTCGTGTCCTTCCCACCGGTCTCTACAGACGCTTTGCTGTAGCTGTGCATGGGCGCCACCATAACCGACCTTCAGTTTTTGTTTCCTCTTATTCCGTTTTATTCACTTCGTCATTGACATAGCAGGCCAGGTCATTGTCATTCTAGATTGTGTCCTCTCCAGCATTGACCTTTCTGGAGATTCGTCAATGCCCGTCTTTGGTGGCTCGGTATCTCAGTAAAACAAGAGAAGGTTAGCAATGGCGGATGTAATCTGGCACGTGTGTAAAGCGTCTATGACAATTGCTCATTCGCGCTTCCCCGCTTCGAACCCAATGCGCGATCGCGGCCACCGGTCGGCCATCTTACCACATTTGCTGAAGCGTTGTCAAGGCTGTGGTCACGTTCCTTTGCCTGGTAACCATGGTAACTGTCCAGGCCTAACAGCGCTAGAGCGAATGTCGTAGGATGGCCGACGGTGGCCGCATTTGCGGAGCGGAGAAGCGCGATCCAGCCATTGTCGAAGAGATCAGTGGTCCTTCCCGTACGTGCTCAGAGTACGTGGCCAAACAATGGCGGGCTCGAATACTTGGTGCAGCAGCTACTAGAGGGCGCTCACTTTTGCAAAGGGTCTGTCCTGATCTCGCTTTACAATGCTACCATCGTTTCTGCGCGGCGATGGGGTAATTCACGGCGATCGTCCGCAAGCGTCTCCAAGACAACGTATGGCATCTATGCGTTTTTTTTTAGTTGCAACAGGTTTGACATGAGCCAATCGGAAAGCTCGACTGACTCGATCATTTCCGCCAAGCGGACGAAATGCGGTATACTCACGCAGTGACTCTTCCCATCACCGACCAGTCACTGAGGCAGATTTTGCGTTTCCAGCGACTGACACAAGTAAAGAAATGAGGGCGTGGGTTATTATGGTTGACGCTTCCTGATCTCTTCTTCGGAGTTCTTATCGGCCAAGCTCAACCGCAGCCAACGTATACACCCGCTGGAGACAATCAAGAAGTGTATTGTCACGGCGCTTTTTGCCTTTGCTATCCCCGTCGAAACCAGGTGTCGTCACCCGGCAATTCGCGAGGCAACATTATACGCCCTCCGCTATGCCACCAAAAATTACCCCTCCCCCCCTTCCCCCCTAAAAACAACAACAAAAACGCTCCAGGACAAAATGTACGTTCGGTTGAGACCCCGGTATGATTCGGGACGTATTAACCCTAAACAAGATCGAGAGATTTTCCAGGCGTCCCAATTAAAAGATAAGTTGAAAAGTGCATTTGCAGCGAACCACTTCGTTAAATTTTCTGCCGAACTCCCCGAAGTAAAGCTTCTAATCTACGAAATCTCGGAGTGGCCTTCATCGAAGCGTTCGATGCGGCCTACACATATCTGCGAACCTACTTTTTTTTTAAAGACGAGGACCGCCAAGCCAAACGCGGGTTTTGCGAATGACAGATGAGCACCTCCAAATTCTTTTACGACGTTAAGAGTTTGGTGGGAATGTTCGCATCAATACTGAACAGCCGCAATCTTAGCGAGAGGGGGCTCGAGCACTCTTACGTTACCTGTGCCTGAATCGAGAAAACATCTTTGCCTATATCAGTCGAAATATAGAAGCGTATAGAAATCTGGGCGAGTTGGTGATGCATGGGAACGTTTATAGAAGCGGAAGATAAAAAAGGAATAACGGTCTCATTTTCGAGAGTCGGAACGAGAATACAGTCGCAAGCAACCGACGAATTAGTACACTTTACGTACACTGCGCGACGGAAATAGCAGCCAAAGTAAAGAAAGAAATCATACCTGGCTAAATCAGATCTATATTCTTTATATTATATTTATTTCATTTAAATCGGACTAATTGGATTTAAATCGCTGTAGCTTAAGATTATTTATCGCTAAATGTATTTTAAACATGAAAAACTTGTCGATCAATTTGTCCGAATGCCGAAAACAATGGGAACGAAACAATTAGCGCGAATTTAAACTTATGAAGTACCGTTTAACAGCTTTTTACGAATATAGAAACCCCGCCATACAAAATAAGCTCGACATTTTTAGTTAATCAAAAAGCTTCGCTTCGAACAAGACGCAACTGTCCAACGAAGTGGAAGGTAAAAAAGAAGGAAAGCTCCGATTTTGCTCGGAAGAGCGTCGCTTTTTGTTCGTCTTCACCCGACCATAAATCTTTGTCGTTCGATGAATATTTGATTTCAGTACCAAGTAAACTCCCATAGAGAACATCAAATGTTAGGCAAGCGCGGTAAATAAATAAAAATGCTTTTGTAACAACTAACTACCTTTGTTGGGAAAGGTTCGATTTAGAATCCTCACAGTAAAACCAGCGTAATTTCAACGATTTGAATCATCTCGATTTTTATTCTCCACCCTGATTGGCACGAAGAACCGATTGCCGATTTTGGGTGCTTTTCAAATAAAGTCCACAGTGTGGCGGGAAGTGGTCGTACGACACTCCTCACTATCGAGGTAACAACACATCGTACAAATGACAGAGGCGCGTTTCTTCCTTGTGTGAGGGTCACACTGGCCATACACAAACTGTCTGTAGATATGTTCCAAGTATACCAATAATGTGTGAAGCTTCAAACACGCTTCAAATATAGGACGTCTCCGCGGGCAATTCTCTCTCTCACACACACACACACACACACACACACACACACACACACACACACACACACACACACACACACACACACACACACACACACACACACACACACACACACACACACACACACACACACACAATATCCTCCTCTCTCTCTTTGTCTCAATCTTATCTCTGAAAAGTACGAGAATACGTCCATGTTGTTTTCGTGCTGTGCAGTGCAATATACACACCGCCTTGCACACAAGGCGGCTGCGTCTTACTCAAGCGGCAAATAGAAACAAAAAAGAGGATGAAAGGGCGCAAGAGAAACAGTGAGTGGAAGAAGAATGGGTAAATGAATAATCTCACGCGCAGCGCACCGCCACAAGCCAGGGCTTCGCCTTCTCCTCGGTTGTACTTGACGCAAGTTCGTCCGCTTCTTTTGCGGGGGTTGTAGTGACGTCAGAACGCCGAGCTCTGATTGGTTGTAATTTGAAGGGTAGCGGGTAGACCTCGAGGCAGCTTGCTTCGAGGTCTGCCCACTATCTTACAGTCAAAGCAAATCAGAACTCGGTGTCGTTCTGATGTCACCGCAACCCCTGAGCAAGAAGCGGACGACTTGCCCTTCGCATACAGTAATCTTTTTTCCAATGCGAGTCGTGCATTGTCGGGAAGCCTGACGCTTGAGAGGTCTCCGTGCGGGAAATATGCAGCGATGCTCGACACAGTGCAACTGCCTCAGCCCACGTCCTGTGTACTCATACCACTGCCCTGACGGGAATTATAATATGTCATTCGTCGAGAATGTACTGCCTTCCTGCGCATTTTTAGTAGATGAATTCCGCGCAAATGAACGAGAACAGGCGCATTCAGCATGGTATGGCCGATGGCTACGCAAGTGTAAAAGTAACGAAATACTAGCGCTACCCCGATAACGTCTCGCTTAGAAATAAAATAGATTACTGTTTAGAACGAGTTATGTATTACGTATTTATTTCGCGGATATTGGCGTCGTCTTTGAGGAGGCGACATCGGAGGAATGTGCGAGCGGAAATAAGCTCAGCTCGAGTCTATTTGATTCGCTACACCTGATTTGGTCGAATTGGAAGCCGCCGCCCCCTTTGAGCTTTTGGGTGGACGGGCTTGCTCTTGGAACAAAACTTCAGCATAACTTCGGTTTTCAAAATGTAGACAGCAAGGCCGGTCTGCCTTTGAGGTACGGCGACCGTGACTCATTCACGCTTTTTTAATCAATACACGGTCTGACTGTTAACTTAGGGCCTTTAACGGGCATCGAGTGATTTCAAACCGTACTTCAATGTGAGCTCCTCCAGATCAAAACGGCCGGTGGGCAAATTTTGAAGACAGATGATTGGATTCCTTCAAATAGGGAGAGAACCGTGATTACACTATAAAAACGCGAACACATTGCTTTCGAAAGTGCCTCGGCTGCGCCAACGCGTGTACAGTGAAAGCACGTAATAGCCCCAAAGCTCTCTCGCGTGTAATCTTTGGTGGAATGCCATTCTGGCATTGCCTGACAGCTGTCGTCATCGCCTACTAGTTCTTGCCGAGAAAATCGAAATCGGTGGTTCGAAATCTGCCGCAGAAGGTACACTGTGCGACACTGTTAGCGCGAACTCGACGTTGGCAGTTTGTTGCATTCTACTTTGATAGGGTATTGGCGGGCATCAGATTTTGACCGCTTAGGTTATAGGCCCCCAAATGACTATTTTATTCCACAGCAGCTGTTCTGATCAGATATACTTTAATTATGAGAAACAGACAATAATAATAATAATAATGATAAAACCGGCTATCGCTTGTTTACGTTAACAGTGTCGCGCAGTGTAGCAGTACGGCCACCGCGGCCACTCGGCAGCTGGGTCACACTGGTCATACGATATACATCACACAAGAGACGCGGCTGCAGAATAAAATGACAATCTGCGCATGCGCGAAGCCTGTTTGCTTCATATATTTCTACCATGTCTGCAGACAGTCTTTGTATGACCAGTGTGACCGAGGAATCAACTCATCTGTGGAGCGTCTTTTGTACGATGCCACAATGTCAAGCCACGAGCACGACGTACCAGGTCCTTGCGACGCCGTTCCTCGGGTGAGCCCACGGGCCGGTGCATGAGCTCCCTGCCGTGCAGCTCTGCCTTGAAGCAGCTGCCCTGCGCCGAGCCGGGCGGCCCTTGCAGCAGGTCCATCAGGTAGGCGATGTAGGACGTGGCCAGCCGCAGCGTCTTGATCTTGGACAGCTTGGTGTCGGCCGGCACGTTGGGGATGCACTCGCGCAGCTCGGCGAACGCGTTGTTGATGCTCTGCGTCCGGCGGCGCTCCTTCCGGTTGGCGGTCACCCGGCGCTTGACCCCGCGCGGGGCAGGCGGAGGGTGAGGCGAGGCCCACGGGTCGTCCGGGGGCCTCGCGCTGCCGCCGGCCGAGTAACAGGACGCCGGACTCGCGCTGCCCAGCTCCGCGCCGGACTGGTCGGCCAGCAGCCAGCCCAGGTACTCGGCGCCCGCCGGGGCTGCGCCGTAGTACGCCGGGTAGAGGGGCTCGGGGGACGCGAAGGCCGTCGGGGCGAAGCCTCCCACCAGGCTCATCCTGGGTCCTGGCGTGGATGACTCCTGACAGGCGGCGATCTCTCAGCTCAGGGTGGCAACGAAGGTCCTGGTGTGCAGTTGTGTACCTCTGGTGGACGATGATGGTGAAGACGCACTCACGTCGGTGCCAACGTGGCGATGAAGGTCCCGGTGTGCGGTTGTGTACCTCTGGTAGGCGACGACGACGGTATCTCTTCGTTGGTGAGGTGCAGAAGAGGCCTCGTCTGATCTGCACCAAATATCTTCGAGGCACCGGTGCGCTACGGGAGACTTTGGCGGGCTGTCGGGCGAGATGATGTTTCGACTTCACGATCCTCCGGAACGTCTGTCCGAACGTGACTGTGTGGAGACTGGTTGACGCTGTTTCGGGTGAACACAAAAAGCTTCGCTATCGTACTCTCGAAAGTATATTAGTTGATGACACTGACTCGACGGATTGCCTGCACGTGCGTAGCTACATCAGTAAGGGTGACGAAATAGCTTTGGAAGCAGACCGCTGCGGATTACTGAGCGTCGTTTAAGAGTCAGACGAGAAAACGTCACGCTGCGAAGCACTTCCTCACGTTAGCTGAAATTTGGCTGGCCTGCAATCACGTGGTACTACTAAATCTGCGACCTTCGACGGTGAAGCAAAGACACGTCACAATGTTTCTTTTTGTTGAACTAGGTAATTTGTTTTTTAAACAAACTTAACTCGAGTGGCCTTTACACACAGTGTTTCCGAGAAACCCTGAGAAAAGTTCCAAAACACGTACTCTAATCTCACGCATTGCAATCTCAAATATTACGTGTCGTCACAGGGTTAACTATCGTTTTAATACTTGGAATGACCTTGAGAGTATGACGCAACCAGCTGTTTACTCGATACGTTTCGCGGCTGATCGTGCTTACATGATCGATTCTTGAAAGAACGTTCTCAATCAAAATAACATTCGAATCTTCACCCAACACCGAACCTGCTCTACGTCGGCTTGTGGATCCACAACTTAGAACTTCTGGAAGACGCTAAGAAATCCGTAGTCCAACCGTTACAAACGAATGCAAAAAATAAGGTTACCTCGGCTAAAAGGAATCTTCCGTTTTCGAGCGAGCACAGCACACAAGCGTTGCTTCGAATAAAGCCATGGCCACAGTCCAGGCTCGCGGGATCCGATCTGGAGTATCGTCCGACCGAAGACCACAACCGCGAACCCGAGACACAGTGCACGACTGCGCTCGGTCGCAGAAGCCGCGTCGTTCGGGGCCCAGATCACACACCGAGGCTTGGATTCCGGCTCTCCAAAAAGGCACGTAGTACAGGGAGCAGATGCTTCACGGAGGCTTGGACTCCGGCTGCTCAAGAAGCCGCGTCGTTCAGGGCCCAGATCACACTCCGAGGCTTGGACCCCGGCTGTCCAAGAAGGCACGTTGTACAGGGACCAGATGCTTCGCGGAGACTTGGGACTCCGGCTGCTCAAGAAGCCGCGTAGTTCAGGGCCCAGGTCACACACCGAGGCTTGGATCCCGGCTGCTCTAGAAGCCACGTCCTGCAGGGTACGGTCTCCGGCGCTCCTCAAGCTGGTTCCCGGAGTAACGGCATTTGCACCGGTCTCCTGTGGATGTGGGGAGGCCCTGGGAGCCCCTGGGGGCTTCGAACTCCGTGGCTGGAGGCGACTCCTCGAGATGGAGGCTGTTGCAGCGGGAAATCTCGTCGGGGCGAGCGTGCCGACGCGTGGCCAGCGCAGAGGCGGGACTTGGACTGGGCTCCGCCTTCGAGCGGAGGGGGAGTACGTCCAGCTGATCGGTCGCCCCGTCCCGAGAAACCCGCCCGTGCATCGACCGGAGAGGAGCGGGAGCGGCTTGCTCGGCCGGGACCAGACCCCGTATGATAATAGTGTACACACACACACGCAACGGCGGGCACTCACGGGGAGGGACTGTCGAGCCGCCCTCAATTGATCAAGTATGATATAAAGTAATTGTTCTTTTTGTGTTTCTTCGAGGGAAGTTAGTCGGCCCCCCATGGGGCGTCTGGTGTGTCCGCTGCAGATGAGAAATTTAGCCAGTGCAGTACCACCGCTATAGTCTAGGGTGTTTAAAGGCGAAAGTGAGCAGGCGAGCTGGAAAGGAAACATCATAATCTAAAACCTGAGACACGAATTATTATGTGAGCTTCGTGTTTAGAGAGCGCGCGGTTGATCTGCCTTTGAGCTGTGACTACCCTGGTTTACGCTGTAGATGAGAAACTTATCCACTGCATGTAGTACCACAGCTAGCCTGTGGTCTTTAACGTGCATCGTACACGAACGCACTCAGGGACAATGCTCATCCAAAAGATTTTAATAATTTTTTTTTCTGTTTGTGCTTAGACAGTTTAGGTCTGCTTTTGAGCTGTTGTGACACTGGTTTACGCTGTAAATGAGAAATGTATCCACTACATGCAGTACCACGGCTAGTCTGAGGTCTTTAAAGTGCATCACGCAGTAGTGATAACACGAACACACGCCGGTACGATGTTCATCCGGATCAAAACGAGCAAGTGTGGGGATTGTGCTCGGGAGGATATAGCGGGCCCCTGGGTTATAGTGAGCGCGCTTTCGCTATAACGCACCATTTAGAGAAAATAAATAAATTCTGCGGCTATCCGCAGTGAAATCGTCGTCGTTTACTGCGATATCGCTCTTTTAGCAAAGACCCCGCAACGTGAATAGATTTGTCGAACAAATTTTTAGCGTGCAGGAATAATAAGAGTGTCAAATCGCGTAATAGGAAATATCTACTTATCCTGTTCGCAGTCAGAAACATATAAATTTAAAAAAAGGAAGGCTCGAGATTGTAGTCAGTGTCCCTATGAAGTCACCATGAAACTGTCTATATTTGGTTCGAAAACTTTAACAAACACATGCCCATAGCGGAACTCAAGCGTCCTTGCCTTCAACTCTTTTGTGCTCCGTTGCAACTTGCAAGCGGATCTTCTAGAGTGCTGCCGCCCCGCACTGCTGTTAGAGCACGCGACTTCGTCTTGCGTTTTATTCGGACTCGCTCTCGTGTAAAGGAGACACTACGGAGCACTTGGCAACGCTGCACGAAATATGACTGACGAAGACGGGGGCCATGAACGTGATTTCCGCTGTGAAACTTTAGAAACTGCCGCTAACTGCTTTTTTATCATTATTATATTTCTCAATCGGGAAAGCCGGGAAAACTCGCCACCTTTATCGTGATCCGCCCGTGCCACATAGAAGACGAGGCCTGAATATGACGTCATCGTTAGTTGATCCCCGACCCGCGCCAAGCGGCAAAACGCCGAAGCTCGACGGCAGACGCCCCTAAAGGCTCTGTGATACCGACGTTGAACGTACGTGTGCGTGTTGGCGATGTAGAAGAGAAAATAGGAAGGCCGGAGAGGAGGGGCTCGTCTCCCCTCCAGGCTTCGCTTTGTTGAAGGGGAGAGAGTGTAGTGTTTTGTGGGAGGAGCTTTTCCTGCACTCGCTCGTTGTGAGACACTCCGAGAGGCGCGATGCTGACGCAAGCTGTGAGCCGAGAAACTGAGCCAGAGGAGGACACGAGACCGGGACGTCAGAACGCCGAGCTCTGCTTGGACTGATTAGTGGGTAGATTTAAACCTAGCAGCCTTTTGTCTCCACTGTTATCGTGGAACGCGTTCGATTGCGAGAGCCGGACGCCGGACGCGGTTCCGGGTTCTAACGCGTTCGACGAGTGCAGTGGAGACAAAAGGAGCCAGGTTTAGGTCTACCCACGAATCATTCCAAGCAGAGCTGGACATTCTGCCGTCCCCTCTCGTCTCCTCATCTCCCTCAGTTTATCGGATCTGCGTCGATCCACTAGTGACGACGGCGCTTTGGGCGGAAAGGCGCAGGCCTTTTCTTAGATACAGACCTTGTCTTCTGGCTGGTATTGGAGAGATGAATGGATGCTAACGGCTGTACTTTTTATAACGGGCGGTAACTTGCGCCATCTAGCCTACAAATCCGCCCGGTTTTCAGCGTTGCCGGACTTGTCCCCACTGGTGATTGCGTCTCGTGCTAACTCACAGCGCTCGCGTGCAATCGAGGCCAGCCAAAAAGTGCGCGTGCATAACACACAAACACAGCAATGTAGGCGCCCTAAAACTCTCGAACGCCTTTATGAAAAGGTGTATAGGGAGTATTCACAGGCGGCCATCGCTGTGTGAGAGGCTGCGAAGCGTTTAAACCTATCCCCAGCATTCTCGTTGACGCTTGAGTAACTTAGTAATAGGTTTATTGCAAGCATGGCGCCTCGATTGCGAGGCCATGCTATGTAGAAAGTTTGGTCATTAATTTGTAAGAACAGTGCGAAAATGAAGGCACGTCATTGGCCAAAATTGTTTCAGTGACCTTGGGCGCGATGATCGACAGCTCTCTGTAACCTACCACAAGCCACAAATATTCCCTTAGCGGAAGCAACGAGCTTAACAATTTTACCCTCCAATCACAAGTTATAGGCAATGATGTTATAGAGTATTTCATTTCGGCACGCCAGAGCTCAAATTTGCGACTCTTCGTAACTGAAAGGGCAACGCGCGTGATGTTGTTGTTGTCACGGCGACATTCAGAGCGCACTCAATCTTTCGAATACACTGGCGGCCGCGGCTCCTGCATGCCGCAGCCACGACGGAGTGGACGGTCAAAACTGCGGATTCGGCTCCGTGGGAGTTTTGACCCGAACCCCGAGTACCAGAAATTGAAGGTTTCTTTCCAGCTGCATAATGTACTAATTTTGAAAAAAAAAAAAAAAAAGAAGAAGAATCTAGTCGTGTTGATGACGATCAGCATAGGTTCACGGATCTCTGGTATCGCGCAGGAGATCGCGATTCAGAAAAACCGATAGAACTGACTTTTCGACAATTTCCAGCCACACCTGGCGGCGGAAATGAGCCTTCAACTAAGTGTTGTAGATGATAAAATCGAGTCAGTGTCACCACTTCAAAATATAAATATTAAGATAAATTCAGTTACAAAATGTTAAAAGTTGAAACAGCAATTATCACGAGAGAACTTGCACGCAGCTCGCGAGCGTACGCCATGTTCATCGACGGTACAACGTTAAGGCGCGCTCCATTCACAAAATGTTCCGAGCACAGTCGAGAGGATGGCGTTGGGGAAAGGTCTTTTCGGTTTAGGAACGCAACCCACTGCCGCCGGAGTTGAAGGTTATGTGGATAGCGACGGAGCATAGAGACATTGCAGCCGCACTTGCCGGATTCTGTGCAAGGTATACATAGGTCCTCGGACAGTTTTCGACGATTTCTGTCGTTATTCGTGCACCTTGTAACCGAGCAATGGTGTCTCGATGACCGGGGGACTGTCGCCATCGAAGCCCGCGACTCTAATTAGGTTTGGGAGTTTCAAACAGAAGAAAGCGCGAACGAAGTTCGGGCAATGTATACAACACCCAACACCGGCGAAGCCTCCCATCCGGGACTTTCACTCTTTCTAACGCACCAGCAAGGGGGAAGACGCCGGTAGCCCTTCCCTCTCTTCTCTCTCGCCCTCTTTCAGTAACACGGTCTGCACACGGATCTGTCCGATTGGCGCCCCTTGATAGGGGAGGAAGTGGCCGAGTGGGCTAACGCGTCTCAGCTCGGAGCGTGGAGCGAAAACTTGCGCTGGGGACCTCCTGGGCTCGATTCCCCGCCGCCCCCGCCCGTTTCGATCTGGATGAGTTTCGTACCGGCACGCATTCGTGTGATCACTACTGCGTGATGCACGTTAAAAATCCCAGGTTAGCGGTTGTACTGCTCTGGCTAAATTTCTCATCCACCGCTAAGAGACCGATTACCCGTCGTGGCGTCAAGGCTGCATAAACATATAGAGCAAACCAATTTTGGTGCCCCATGAGTTCAAGCACGTGCAACTTGCGCGTGAACATGTATAGTTTTTGCAAGCTTGCAATTGCACGGGCTTGCCCGCACGAGCAGAGAAATGGCGGCGGCCAGCCGCCCTGCTTGCAATCGTCTCAACACCATTCCAATATTTCCAATGGCACAAGCGTGGCCGAATTTAAAGATCTAATCCGCCATCTCGATCTTGATGTGTAAGTCTTGTAAATTCTCTAACTTATAAAGCGTGTATTCATATCAAACCTGTAGATACAAAACAGATGAGGAGGCAGCCAGCTCATGGTGCACGGGCTTCTTTTACCTTTTGGTTGCCTCAGACTCTCGGTTGTGTTGGCATGAAGCCAGTGAACACTTTGACTTTGACTCTATTCCTGAACCCAGCGTGCGAGCACATGCACACGCATGTTCGTCGCTTCGGAAAGCGAGCAAGTGACTCGCCATATGCACGACCACTGAGAATGGAACCGGCCAGGAGCCCTTTTTGGAAAGGTATATTCCCTTTACCTTGAAGCTGAAACTGCAGCCAATGACACGTCGCTGCTTTGAAGCGTTCTTCCGCAGAACGAGCGCTCGCGCTAGGAATGTGTGTCTCAAAGCCAGTAGCGCTCTAAGCTCGCGCTTGTAGCTTTGTCTGTAGTCTCAGCTTAAAGGGGTACTCCGGCGATTTCTTCATGGTACCCGATTTGATTGAAATTTTGCTAAACTCGCCACACAACATCGCCAAAATAGTATCCCAAATATTAGGTAAAATAATTTTTTTTTTTTCACGAAGTTATTGAATTTACAATTTTGGTCCTCACCGTGTTTTTCAAACTGAAAGTCTCTACTGGTAACAACAAAAGAGTGACGTCAGTGGAAGT